GTGCCAAGTTTCAAGAAGATAGGTGCAGGGGGGTTCGGAGAAACTGCACCCCAAAGTCTTAAGATTACAAAATCTTACCAAGTCTTTTTCATACTTAGTGACCTTGTACTCTTAGAATAGGTCAGTGTACACCTCATGGGAATCTTTTTCATTCCTAGTTACTTAAACCTATCTAATTTAGTTAGTTTATCAGATGCAAATCTATCCTGAATTCCTGTTTACATCATTTCCACCACTAGGGCACCCTTGATGGTCACAGAAACAAATATAGGATTATTACCTAAGTGGGTGTGTCTACACATTTATTAATGCACCTTAGATACTGAGCATTTAGTTTACTACTTCCTTAATAAAGGACTAACTAACTGCACAGTACCTAAAGTTACTGAGCATTAGTGTCGGTGTATGGTTATTTAGTGATGTTTACTGTGCATTAGTGTAGAGTCCAGAGGACGGCCATGCATATGACTAGAGGTCAAGAGAGCAGACCTTATGAGGAGAGGCTGAGAGGCATGGGACTCTTGAGCCTGGAGAAGTGAAAGCTCAGGGATGCCTTGGTGGCCTGATATACAGTGAATATCAAGGGCTATAGGCTGTACAGGAGGAATAGAACAGGGAGGAATGGCGGGGGTGTGGCGCTCTACATTAAGGAGGAATACACATCTTTGTCAATTAGCAAAGAATCAGAGGAGGAGCACTCTGAAGTGCTCTGGGTTAGAATACAAGGCAGTCGAGGGGAAACAGATTTAACGGTGGGGGTCTACTACAGACCACCCAACCAAAGGGAAGAGCTAGACCAGGAATTCTTAAGTCAGCTCACAGAGGCAGTTAGGTCAAAGGATGTGGTCATCATGGGAGACCTGAACTTTCCAGACATCTGCTGGGAAGAACAGTCAGCCAGGTCTGACCACTCATGTAGGTTCCTAGCCAAAATGCAGGACCTCTGTCTAACCCAGGAGGTGCACAGCCCCACCAGGGAAGATGCCTTGTTGGACCTGGTGCTGGCCACAGGTGACGACCTGGTGAGGGGGCTGCGGGTGCTCGACCACCTGGGCAACAGCGATCATCGCCTGCTGGAATTCACCATCCAGCGTAAGGTGGCAAAGGCCTACAGGAAGGCAGCAGCCCTAGGTTTCAGGAGGGCAGACTTCAATGAGCTAAGGAGAATAGTCAGGGAAGCACTGAGGTCCCGGAGGGGAGCCAGGTGTCCAAGGAGAGTGGTCGCTCCTTAAGGAGACGATCCTCCAAGCCCAAAGGGAGGTAATCCCAACACGGATCAAAGGGGGCAGGAGGGCGCAAAAGCCCCCATGGCTCACCAAAAGCAT